GAGACAGGTGGACAGACAGGTGGACAGACATGAGACACGTGGACAGACACGAGACACGTGGACAGACATGAGACAGGTGGACAGACAGGTGGACAGACATGAGACAGGTGGAAAGACAAGAGACAGGTGGACAGACATGAGACAGGTGGAAAGACACGAGACAGGTGGACAGACATGAGACAGGTGGAAAGACACGAGACAGGTGGACAGACAGGTGGACAGACATGAGACACGTGGACAGACACGAGACACGTGGACAGACATGAGACAGGTGGACAGACAGGTGGACAGACATGAGACACGTGGACAGACACGAGACACGTGGACAGACATGAGACAGGTGGAAAGACACAAGACAGGTGGACAGACACGAGACAGGTGGACAGACAGGTGGACAGACAGGAGACAGGTGGACAGACACGAGACAGGTGGACAGACAGGTGGACAGACAGGAGACAGGTGGACAGACAGGAGACAGGTGGGCAGACATGTGGACAGACAGGTGGACAGACAGGTGGACAGCCATGAGACAGGTGGACAGACAGGTGGACAGCCATGAGACAGGTGGACAGACACGAGACAGGTGGACAGATAGGTGGACAGGTGGACAGCCATGAGACAGGTGGACAGACAGGTGGACAGATAGACACCTGCAAACAACCACCCAACCTACCTACATCTTTTAGATGTTTTCATGTGTCCTCTGAGGAGGACAGAGGGTTTAAGGAAGAGCGACCCCTGCTGGTTGCTGCAAGACCTGATCACCTGTTCCCCCATGTTTGTCTTGTGTTTCTTCAATGTAATTTCATTGTGCTCCGTACAATGACATCATCATCATCATCATCATCATCATCATATCCTCTGAGGACATGCCCACATGTCGTGGTGTCCTTGAGTAAGACACCCAACCCTGCTGCCCTGGTGTTTAACCAGCTGCTGTCCTGGTGTTTAACCAGCTGCTGTCCTGGTGTTTAACCAGCTGCTGTCCTGGTGTTTAACCAGCTGCTGTCCTGGTGTTTAACCAGCTGCTGCCCTGGTGTTTAACCAGCTGCTGCCCTGGTGTTTAACCTCTGATCTTCCGATCACAGACACAGCCCTCAGCAGGACATTTATACAGAAATCCCAAAGCTTCAGAGCCTTCTTCATGCAGCTGTATCTGGATGTGTTTTAAGGTAACTGAGTGATGCTGCAGGTGGGAGTTAGACCTGCTTCCTGTTTGTGTCCATGTTTCTGACAGCAGTTCAGACAGAGGAAACTCTCTGAAATAAAAGGATCAACACAGTGCTGATCAGCAGGCAGTACATCAGAAACTGTACACAGAAAATGGGCGGAGCCTTTAGCTTGGAAAACAGAGCAATGGTCCTCATCTATTTTCTGCCATGGCCCCTTAGAGAACTTTATTATTACTATTTATCAGCAGCCTACACACTGCTGTACGACTTTGTGACACCAGCCTTCTGCAACATAACCAGCTGATCATCAGACATCCATCAGCTACATGAGAGATTCTAGACTAGAATTATCTATGACTTATGATACATTACTGCACCTTACTGATAATCACTGAACTGTACACTGCTGCTGTCGTACTAATATTTAATATTCACTCTGCACACTGCAGTCATACTGCCTTTTTATGAATAACACTGTAACACTGAGACGAGGTCTTTGAAGGAGATGAGACCTTTGAAAGAGACGATACCTTTGAAGGAGACAAGACCTTTGAAGGAGACGAGACCTTTAAAGGAGACAAGGTCTTTGAAGGAGACGAGGTCTTTGAAGGAGACGAGACCTTTAAAGGAGACGAGACCTTTGAAAGAGACGAGGTCTTTGAAGGAGACGAGGTCTTTGAAGGAGACGAGACCTTTGAAAGAGACGATACCTTTGAAGGAGACAAGACCTTTGAAGGAGACGAGACCTTTAAAGGAGACAAGGTCTTTGAAGGAGACGAG